TCCATTCGTCCATCCTGTCTGTCTGTCCGTCCGTCCATCCTGTCTGTCCGTCCGTCCGTCCATCCTGTCCGTCCATCCTGTCCGTCCGTCCTGTCCGTCCGTCCTGTCCGTCCGTCCGTCCGTCTGTCCATCCGTCCGTCTGTCCATCCGTCCGTCTGTCTGTCTGCCCATCCTGTATGTCTGTCTGTCTGTCCGTCCTGTATGTCCTGTCCGTCCGTCCTGTCCGTCCGTCCGTCCATCCTGTCTGTCTGTCTGTCCGTCTATCCTGTCCGTCCGTCCTGTCCGTCCGTCCTGTCCGTCCGTCCGTCCATCCTGTCTGTCTGTCTGTCCGTCTATCCTGTCCGTCCGTCCTGTCCGTCCGTCCTGTCCGTCCGTCCGTCCATCCTGTCTGTCTGTCTGTCCGTCCGTCTGTCCGTCCGTCCGTCCGTCCGTCCGTCTGTCTGTCCGTCTGTCGTCTGTCTGTCTGTCTGTCCGTCCATCCGTTCGTCCATCCTGTCTGTCCGTCCATTCGTCCATCCTGTCTGTCTGTCCGTCCGTCCATCCTGTCTGTCCGTCTGTCCGTCCATCCTCTCCGTCCATCCTGTCCGTCCGTCCTGTCCGTCCGTCCTGTCCGTCCGTCCGTCCGTCTGTCCATCCGTCCGTCTGTCCATCCGCCCGTCTGTCTGTCTGCCCAGTCTGGCTGTCTGCCTGTCTGTCTGTCTGTCCGTCCGTCCGTCCATCCGTCCATCCATCTATCTATCTATCACTACATTTGAATTGGGTTAAATAAACTGTGATGAAAATGACATTTTTACAACATTTCATGTATACAACATGTCTGATATCCTCTGACACAACTAAATAATATTTTCACACCTTTTGCATAATTTGGCAAAATTACAGCTTGTTTGGAAATGGCACAGCCTGTCTTCTCTCTCTCTCTCTCTCTTCAAGCATATGCTATTTAAGGGCTGGTCCACCTGCATGAGACACATCTCACTGGGAGAGCTTTATAGGACAGGTCCTTCGAGAGTGGCCTATTCAAGTAATTCTTCTGGCTGTAATCACTGAGCGAGGAGGAAGAGGCCAGTCATAAAAGTAAACAAGCAGAGAGCGGGGTCTGCAGGGAACCATAGCTTAATTACAAAACACTGGCATCTGAAATCATCTCTACAACTCCGACCCAGACAGATGTGACCTTGTTTTCAACTTTGTTATTTCTTTAGCCTCCGATTAACACGAGACCTTCGTTTGCCGAGTACGTCAGCGGTAAACATCCTGAAAGTGACATCCAAAGCCTTTAAAGCCTCTAACAAACAAGGTATGACCCGCAGCACTGGAGAGCACCTAACATAAAGAGGTCGTAACACCTCTGAGAGCGAGGAAAGCTTGATTAACCACCAGTGCTGAATGTGAAGGGTCGTTAAGGTTGGTTTTAATGAAGCTCTCCTACTGTTGGAGGACTGACCGTGGTGAAAGTGTTTACAGAACCTAAAGAGGATTATTTTTAAGGGTTTTAAATTGGACTTGACAACAAGCTTATAATAACAATCTACGCCCTTCCGCTACTGGGTTCTTGAACGTAATGCTGCTGCCTCTCGAACACAATCTGACAGCCAGTATTTTTGTGTTCCTGTGGACCATGTGACTAGAGTGTTGCCTTGGTTACATGCACTGTGTCTGAAAAACATATCCGCTTGAGATCTGCTTAGGAAAATAATAAAAAAAAATGTTCTGGAAAATCGATAGAAAGGTAGGCATGAATTATTATTTAAGAGTTATGTAAGACTCTTTAGTACAGCAAACTGAACAAAAAACAGTGCATGGAAGTGCACTCGGTGTACCTGTCAACTTTATGTATTTACTGTATATATAGGTGAGACTGGGGCAAGTTGTCACTCCTTTTATTCCAGTGAATATTTCTCAGGAATGTTTTATATTTAAAGGTCAGTTTTTGCATAGGCACATACCTTATAGTTTTGACTAGAAAAAAGCTATTCAACATTTTCACGGTTATTGCCCAGGAAAGAAAGGTATAATTAATCAACACACGCTGACCTTTTGTGACAACATGCAAATGAGCTCCAACGGCAGTTTAAGCAGTCATGCTACATGAAGCAAGTTGTCAATTGGAACCTGCTGTTTATTGATTTGAGAAAACACTGAAAAATTTAAGGGGGTCTGAATACTTTCCGTACCCACTGTATATTTATAAAATATATATACACATACACAGGTGCATCTCAATAAGTTTCACAATTTGAGTTGAATTACTGAAATAAATGAACTTTTCCACGACATTCTAATTTATTGAGATGCACCTGTATATATATATATATATGAAATGCTAGAGAAATAAAGTTGGTTATTCATTAGTATTTCAGCAGAAATTACACAGTATAATAATTAAAAATAAACAGGAAAAAATGTTAAAGGGTAAAGTAAAAAAATATATATATATAAATATACAGTATATCATAATATCATTTTGGCAGCAGATTTGGTAATTAATAAATTGTGTTTAATAAAATGAATAAATTAATTTGGTAATTAATAAAAATTCTTACAACAGTTAACATTTGTGTCCCTATTTGCCCCACGAGACATTTTGGAAAAATACCCTCAGTACAATATTATTTTATAGCTTTGAACAATGGTTTAAAATAACAAATCTGGATTTCCTAAAGACATGCAGTGAATCATTAGCAATCAAAAGACGTGGACCATCATTTTTGCAGCTGACCCTTTTGCGTAAGCAGTTGTAGCAGTTTCCATTTCAAACGCAAAATTTATGGGAGTATTAAAATAAATCAAAGCAAAGTGATTTACTAAGGTTTGCATTGGTTATTTAACTGTTACTGCTATTATTTTTTTATCAAGTAGCTTCATCCCAATTTGCACATTGTTAATGTTACTGCTGCTTTTATTATCATGTAGTTGCAGTCAGTTAGCTACGTTACTGTACTATTGTTTTGCACATAAGTCAATATTGCACACTCGCACATACAGATGCACATAGTCTATATTTTGATATTTACATAGTCTATATTTCTACTTCTGCAGCATAGTTTTATTTTTATTATGTTTGTTTTTATGTATGTGTGTGTGTTTATTTTTGCACTTGTCTTGGCATTCACTGTGGACAGCAAAGAAAGAATTTCAATGTACAGGGAAACTTGTTTTCCTCACTGTGCACATGACAATAAATGCTTTAAATCCTTGAATCCTTGAATTTTACTGGTATTTGCGTCATTATTTAACACCCCCCAAAAAAGCATGTCTTAATCCATTTTGCTTCTGTGTTGTTAGTAGATTACATGCACCATTATCATTAGCTAGGTTTCCATCCACCTATTTTTATGCGCATTTTGGGATATTGCATAAAAAAATGCTGGATGGAAACGCCAAGATGCGCACAGATTCTAAAAATGTGTGCATGAACTATGATGGAAACACTTTTACCTAATAAATTCCTTAATGCACATAAAAAAAGACATGTAACTTTGCAATGGAACAGCATAAAACTGGACCAACCAATGGACCCATCTTATTGAACAGCATCTGAAATGCTAGTTTTGTCATTCTAAAATGCTTGAGCAAAGTCTTGTCAAAGTTTTTTGTTATAATTAACTCCCAGAACTGCATTCCCAAACAGCACGCTCCGAAAATAAGATAACATGACCACGTTTCGGCTGCGTGCTCTGAAGCTTGTAATTTATTGTATACAAAAATGATTTTATATAGTGCCTTCTCCTACTGCAGCAAATTATTTTTTCTTCATGATATTTAGAGAAAGTTAATCAGGAAGTGATGATTTTGTTCTCTTCAACTCACTGAATGGAAACGGTGCATTATTTGCAAATGTTTTATGCAATATTCCAATTTTGCGAATAAGTTTAATTCATAACTTTGGATGGAAGCTATTGGCTCTGCTTTTTTTGCAGCCCTACTCTTTTGCTCTTGGTAGATTGCATTGTTCATTATGGAAGTTCTTTCATTTGCTCATTGTCAGTAGATCAACCACAGAACGCTCCACTCCCATCGGTGCATTTATGAGATTGCACTCTCACACTAATTTGCCCTGTTTAGCAAATCCGACCCTTAGTTTTGAATTTGTCTCATAATTGATGAAATTAGCATCACTGACTCTGCTACCTTCCTTTTTATTACTGTGAAGCTGCTTTGAAATGATTAGTAGGGAAGAGAGGGGCACAACCTAACACTTTTTGACTTTCTCAGTTTGTGTAAATCCACATGGAGTTCACAGTATATTTTTTCCACATTAATTTCACACTTGTCCAGTACAAATATATGGATTTGTCTCATTTTAAATTAACACTAAAAACTGAGATGAAAAACCAGAAATTTACTTTTGCTAAATACATTTTCAGCAATATCTTCAAAAGATTTTTGAGGCACTTTTTTCTCTATACAGTGTTGATATGGCAACTTGTAAATACCGTAAATTTAGTTATGCTAGCATGTGTGGAAATATTTAAACCATGTGTGTTACAACTAACCCCGCATTAGCGTTGTGCCCTGTGCACCCCACTACACTTGACCACTTGTGAACTTAGATAATGCATTTTCAAAGGGAACAGTTTTTAAAACCTAGTGTTGTACAGAGCTTTATTTACACTTTTTCCATTACTTTGCACTTTAAAATACATGTCTAAATATATGTTTAGTGGTCCATACTGTATGTAACAGATGACACAATTTATTAATTGTGGTACCTTTGGTAATACGTGCTAAAAGTAATAAAAAGCAGTTGCAAATGTCTTACAAAATTCACACACTAAATGTGCAACATTTTATGTTCTACAACCAAATTATGTGTAATATCTCATTTATTTCTGCACTTCAGGAAAGTTTTCCTCAAATTCTGAGCTTAGGCATTTTTCAGACCCGAGACAGTCTTGCACACTTACTTTCTGTACCATTCAAACACTCTCAAGCACACTTGACACATGTGGCACACTTCACATGCACTTGTGCTCTTACAATGGCCACCGCGTGCACGTGACCGTTAAGTCCACAAGACCGTAGTGTGTCCCATTCATCGTTTTAGCTTTCAGAAGGATGTGCACTTCTGCTAAGCCCGCACTGAGGCGAGCTCCGCGGCACACTTCTAACCGACAGTCAAAGCGGCATTACGTCACAAAAGTGTGGACTCAGTGGAAGACCGCAATGGTTTAGGGTGCGATTTGGCAAAGGGCCTCAAGTGGCCAGTAAGCTTTAGTTTGTGTTTTGCTGGCTCTTCTTTATCCACTGATCTTAGATATTATGCTGACACCTAGTGGCATGGAGGCATTAGGTTTGTTTGCTAACTGCTGCCGCTTCATAAAGTCGTTCAAATTTAGTTTCATTCCTTTTCATGTATGTTTTTCCATTTCACTTGACTGCTTGTTCTGACATTTCATTAGTCCACTTAAAATCATTCTGCATAAAACTTACAACATTTAAAAATAAATGAACTTAATCTAATATATCCTCTGCCAATTCTCCAGCCTAATGCTACAGTGTTTAAAGAGAAGAAGATCAGGACCAATGAGACAGATCTGAAACAGCTAACCTTGTGGAATTACACTGGATGGAGAAATTTTGCCTGTTATTTCTGAAAGGAAATGTGTAACTTAAGTGGGAAGGCCATAAGATGAACAAAACAGCCAGGCTGACAGTGGAGGATTATGGGAAGTGTGCCCTCCCATGACAGCAAAGCCATATAGGTCATGGTGAAACACCATCACCCCTGACAACCCCTGCAGGAAACAGAGTAGAAACATCCTTCCACATTCACTCGCTCTCTCTGACTCACATTCTCGAACATATTCTCGTGCCTCAGACAACTTTTTTACAGGACAAACTCTTTGGTCTCTTTGTGCCATTCTGGGTGCTCAAAGACTGTCACCGTTTATTCTTAGATACTAGCTGATCCTTTCTCAGCCCACACAATTTCAGTGAACGAAATCAACCAGAATGACACACACACACACACACACACTTACCTGCCAGACGAGGGCCTCCATGTGCTCGGTAGTGCTCGAGAGCCAGATGCTGAGCACAAGTGTGTGGGAGGATGAAGTGAGGACACTAGCGATTACGGCATCCCTCATGGAGAACGGCAGCATGGTGTACACCACAAACACAATAAACAGGAAAAACGACACCTGCAAACAAAGTTAACAGTGCATTAGAGTGCCATTTAACATCTACAGCTCACAAACATAGGATAGAGATCAGATCAGGATAAACACTGAAATACATTACATGACTTTCGCCCAGATTTTTGCCCTGATTTACAGATTAGACAAGTTGATGCTTGTTGCTGAAAGTCAAAGTCAGTCTGCAGATTTGAGTTGACAGATTTCACAGAAAATCACGTAGTGTTTGATGGTCACAGACTGTATTTTTAGTATCAGGGTTTGATTCCAAACAGTTGGAGGATATCAAATTGAGCAGATTTTTACAATGCATATTGCTTACATATGTGATGTGTCTTGTAGCACGTGTTTCTGGGTGGGTTTGTTGTGTTTTGTGAAGACTTGAAACCTGGTAATGTTTGAAATCTTTTTTTTTTCTTTTTAAAAAAAAATATTTTTGACATATTGCATGTTCAGATATTCATACAACAAAATGTCCTAGGGGCCATTACATTTTTGTAAAAATGATCAAAAATGCAGGTAAAAAGTAGTTGCAAATGTTTTAGAAGATAAACACACTCATCTCTGCGTCAATAAAATGTCAACACTTTTTACTGCATGTCTTGCGTGATTTGGAAGGAAATTAAACACTAAAATTACATTGTTTAATTCCTGCAGGAAATTTGTAGATTTAGGGATTTGTTTGGCTATTTGTGTCTTTGAAATTAGCTTAAATTAACATCGAGTCACCACATGTGACGTTTTCATAACGATTCAAGACAAGTGCTTCAAAAAGTGAGCTGATTCCATGATGAAACATGAGTCGTGAGTGTTTGTTTGCTTGCCTTCGCCTACAATGTTGAGAGAGTGACAGGCTCTTAATCAATACTGACAATTTGATATGTTTGTGCACAAAGGCCTTTATTACAGGAGAGTTTCACAATTCATGCCGAGGTGGACTGGAGCTCATTCTGACACTGACAGCCTCACAAACGTCAACCATCCCTAAACAATCAACCACTTATATTTATTAATCAATATCAATAATGGACTCAAAAATGCAAAATCACCTGTGCATATTTGTGTAATGTATTTTGGGCTTACACATTATGTGTGTAATATATTTGCGCTCCGGCTCGGCTGTAGAATATAGTATACATTTTTTAAAGATTTTTATATAATAACTTTTTCAGCCTGCAACCTGTCGTAACAGCCTGTTTACAAAACCAATCTTGCTGCACATAATGTGCTGCTCAAACTGTTCATACTAAAATGATCAGGGACATTGTTAAAGATAAACTTCAGCCACTTTTTCCTAACACTGGGATCCTTCAGAATAATATAAAGAGAGGCTGGAGATACACGCAGCCAGAAGCAGCACAAGGTTTGGCAAACTTTCCCCACATTTTACTGTTATCATTGGTTTATGTGGTGTTTAGGAAAAATATTATCCATCCTGCTTTCATCTTGTTACCTCAGATTTTTGATCATCCAGTAGGCCTCATTGACGTAATAAACGTGGGCGCTCCTGAGCTGATGCATTCATCATCAGAAAGTGACGTAAATTCAGTTTAGTAAATGCACTTTTTTGACTGGAAAGATAGAGAGATTGAAATTTGACTTGCAACTTTTACAAGAGGTATAGCATACTCTGCTAAATTGAATGAAGGTGAAAGGAAAGTGAATATAAATCAAAAAAATTCAAAGAAAAAGAGAACATATGCTACAGTTTTATTTTGTATATATTATTTGGGTCACTGTTAACAAACTATTAAAGTAAACTAACTATTAACTTTTGCCTCAAACTCTTAATTTGCTGCTTATTAATAGTTAGTAAGGTAGTTTTTAAGTTTAGGTATTGGGTAGGATTAAAGCATCTAAAATATGGTAATGCAGAATAAGGTATTATGTGCTTTATAAGTACTAATAAACAGCCAATATGCTAGTAATATGCATGCTAATAAGCAACTAGTTAATAGTGAGAATTGGTCCTTAAAATAAAGTATTACCATTATATTATAGTTACTTAGTTGTTGCTAATAAACTTTTAAGACTTCTGAAATAACATCTGTTATCACTGGCTAACCTGTGTGCTAACATAATTCATGCTGACATTTATCACGATAGCGAAGCTGTTAAATAACAAATGGGTATTAATATGCAGGACCGTTGCTAAGGGGGGGGAAGCGATAAATTGTACAAGAGGGCCAGAAAACCTGGTGATGCCACTGCCCACATTTACATATTAAAGGGATAGTTCAACCCTTCTTTCTTCAGTTTCTTTCTTCTGTTGAAGACAAAAGAAGAATTTTGAAGAATGTGGTAGTTGATGGTAGCCACTGACTTCCATAGTCATTTTTTCAATATATGGAAGTCAATGGCTACAGTCAACTGTTTTTATTCTAACATTTTTCAAAATGTCTTCTTTTGTGTTCAACAGCTGAAAGAAACTCATACAGGTATGGAATGACAAGAGGACGAGTAAATAATGACAGAATTAAAATTTTGGGGTGAACCACCCCTTTAATATGTAAATGAGGGCAGTATTATGTTGATGAGCTCATGGTTGTGACATTATGATTACATGTTTTTCTAGCTTAGTTTCTACAAATGGAGTTTTGCACACTGCCAACACTCATATATTTCAAAAGAACAAGAAAAAAGCGGTTTTGCACAATATGTCCCCTTTAAATGATCTGTAGTCTTTTAGTTAGTGCCACACTGCAGGTTTCATCAGGTTTTCTACGCTTCAACGATGTAATACGCTTATAACTATTCCAAAACTTGTGTTTTATATTTTTGTACACTGAGTGCTGTTTTTGTGTGTGTGTGAGCGAGGGCTCAATATAGCACTGGAGGAATGGCAGATAGGGCACTGGACAGCAGCAAAGCCTAATGGATTTCTGGCTTGGTCAACCTCACAGACCACACATACACACACACACACACACTGCCAAAAAACAAACAGATTGCAGGGCAGTGATTTTTCTTGAGCCTTATCGATCGCCATTTTCACTCTGTCCGCCAGAGAGGAGGATTAGAGAAATCGTCAGGAATGGTTACATTTGGCTTGTGAAGGAGAGAGAATCCCCTTGTAGACAGAACGCTCCACTGGGCTCCGGGCCAAGGGGCGTCTCGCACTTTCACCTCGGATTGGACAGATAGCTTGTGTTTTCGCTAAAGTTTTGAAGTGTTGGAGTTCAGTCTCAAGAACTGGCAAGGTTAAATGCTTAATCTCTCCAATGAACGGATTACTTGCCAGTTCCATGCCTGCTTAAAGTTCTGGTCTATCGGCTAGCAGGATTAAGACTGGCAGTTCAATTCAGTGGTCTTATTCTACATCAGACCAGGTTATACGGCACTGAATCCTAAATATTTTGTCTTTGTCTGACCTCTGGCTCCCAGTACATGTATGGGAACTAGAGTCATGAAGAAATCAAGCATGACACAGCATTACACTGATAGATCAAGTGAACATAGAGTTAGTTATGTCTATATATATTTGGACACTGACACAATTTTCATAATTCCGGCTCTGTATGCCACCAGAAAAGAATAAAAATAAATAAACAATAAATCAATCAAGATGAAATTGAAGTGCAGACTTTAAGCTTTAATTCAAAGGGGTTGAACAAAATATAGCATAAAATGCTTAGGAATTGCAACCATTTTTTTACACAGTCCCCCCATTTTCAGGGGCTCAAATGTAATTGGACAAATAAATATAATCGCAAATAAAAAATATATATTTTGTTGAGAATTCTTTGCAGGCAATGACTGCCCACGAGTCTGGAACTCAGACATCCCCAGAGACTGGGTTTCCTCCTTTGTGATGCTTTGCCAGGCCTTTACTGCAGCTGACTTCAGTTGTTGTGTGTTTGTGGGTCTTTCTGCCTTTAGTTTTGTCTTCAGAAAGTAAAATGCATGCTCGGTCGGGTTGAGATCAGGAGATTGACTTGGCCATTGCAGGATATTACACTTTTTTACCTTCAAAAACTCCTAGGTTGCTTTTGCTGTATATTTTGGGTCATCGTTCATTTGTACTATGAAGTGCCGTCCAATCAACTTTGCTGCATTTGACTGAATCTGGGCAGACAGTATATACCTATACACTTCAGAATTCATCCGGCTGCTTCTGTCTTCTGTCACGTCATCAATAAACACCAGTAACCCAGTGCCACTGGAAGCCATGTATGCTCATGCTATCACACTGCTCCACCATGTTTCACAGATGATTTTGTATGCTTTGGATCATGAGCTGTTCCAAGCCTGCTCCATACTTTTTTCTTCCCGTCATTCTGGTACAGGTTGATCTTAATTTCAGCCGTCTAAAGAATGCTTTTCCAGAAGTGGTCTGGCTTTTTTAGATGTTTTTTGGCAAAGTCTAATCTGGACTTGTTTGGACCTTGTGGTGAACCCTCTTGGTTGTAGACTTTGACCGTGACACGTCTACCTCCTGGAGAGTCTTCTTCACTTGGCTGGATGTTGTGAAAGGGTTTTACTTTACCATGGAGAGGATTCTCCGATCATCCACCACTGTTGTCCTCCGTGGACGTCTAGGCCTTTTTATGTTGCTGAGCTCACCAGTGCGTTCTTTTTTTTCTCAGAATGTACCAAACTGTTGATTTGGCCACGCCTAATGTTCCTGCTATCTCTCTAATGGATTTTTGTTGTTTTTGAAGCCTAACAATAGTCTGTTTCACTTGTATGGAGAGTTCCTTTGACTGCATGATGTGGGTTCACAGCAACAGCTTCCAAATGCAAATGGCACACTTAGAATCAACTCCAGGCCTTTTACCTGCTTAATTGCTGTAGAAATAACGAAGGAATAGCCCATATCTGTCTATGAAACAGCTTTTGAGTAAATTGTCCAATTACTTATGGTCCCTTGAAAAAGGGGGAGGTACATATTAAAGAGCTGTAACTCCTCAATCTTGATGAGAATACCCTCAAATTAAAGCTCAGAGTGTGCACTTTAACCCATATTCATTATATAACTCTTATATTATATAACTTGAATATGTTTT